TTATAAACACCGCCGTTGAGTCGGCAAAGATACCGAAAATGTCTTCGTTATGGATGACTTGAGCACTGTTTAACAAGTTCACTAAAACACGCAGGTTTTCCACGCTCAATTGCACGGCAGTGAGTCTCGATGATGATGAACCAGTATTGTTTTGGGGGTTGCTTTCGTTTTTAGCGACATCTGTGTTCCGGTTCGGCAATAAAATTTTCTTCAACTCTGACAGGATAATCGGGGAGACGGACTGATGATGGACAAGTCTGGTCAATGTCGCTGCTATTCGTCGCTTTGAGAAACTGCAAGAAAAAAATTTTAATCAAGCATTTAAAAAAACCTGCCAAAATTCTGCTGCACAAACGTTGGCGGTTTAACAGAGGGTTAGACTGTAAATATAATGCAAAATTTCTAAAAAAAATTATGAAAATATATACCCCTAAATGACGTGCACTCCCTTTTTTCCTCTCAAAATTGAGAGAAAAAAGTTTCTAGTGGTACTTGAGCTAAGATGGTACATAACTTGTAGGACAGTGATTGTAACAGAAGAATTCAAATTCACCTTGGAGAATGCCAATCCCGGCGAACGTGCAGGACAGCACTCATGAACACAAGGAATAATATGCCCAATAATGATAGAGGAAGAAAAATGCGCTTCGAAATTCGGGGCACGAACCACAATAACCGGTACATGGTAGGGGTACTTTGGGTTCCACTGACAGCGGTGAAACCTGTGACAGAAGCAACATAATTTCATCCAAGAAAAAAAAGTCCTGAGCATTTACCCAACATTTATATGGCTCTTGCAAGAAAACACACAGTAGTCTTTGTATGTTTCTTTCTGTACTCATGTGTACTCATGCTTAACCAACAGAATCCTTGGAAAAATCCTCATGTTTATCTGCTGTGGAGTACATGTAAAACTGAACGCCTGCCTTTTATCATGGGGTCAGCAGGAAGCTTCCTGTCTGCCTTGGAATTCGTCTGGATTCCAATCTTACATGTGTTTTCTTGGGTTTTGCTACATTATTTTATTTGTGCTGTACTGCTGTGTGAGCTGATGACTACCCATTCCTCACCCCCGTTTTTTGGCATTTCATGGGCAAGTAAAATCCCCCATATTTCGGGTCTCCACTAAAAAGTTAGTCAACCTTTTTGGGGGTTACAGACCAATATATAGACAGGAAATTTCAGACTAGACAAATTGAGACAGAAAAGTTTGAGACAGGGACAATGCAGGACAGGGATTATTCAAGACAGGGACAATTCAAGGCAGGGACAATTCAAGACAGGGTGATTTAGAGACATGTATAGAATTGGAGACATAGACATTTAAAGAGAGGGACAATTTGAGGCAGTCCCAAAAGCAACTCTGCACACACAATTTTTTTTTCACTCAATTTTCTTGTTTTTTTTCAAGATTCTTGGTGAATCTTGGGATATTTTCAATTCACATGACGTTCTGACCAAGTAGTGAAATTTGTGTTCCTTTTCACACCTCCACTATAATATATTTAGAAGAAAAGCAGGGAAGTCATTTGAAAATACTTCTATATCAAATAGTCTATGTCTCAAAATGTATCTGCATCAAATCACCTCTGTCT